CATTGTATGGTTCACCTTTCCATGACCTGTATGAACATTATGTAGAATATATATTATATATACCGTTTACATAATATAATGTTCAGGTGCCACTAGTATACCCCTCTAACAGTATGGTAAAATCATATTATATGTAATTATATACATATATACATTATGTATATATATATATATGCGTGTGTGTGTGTGCATACCCTCCGGTATTATCGGAAGGGATATTTTATGTATGTATGTATGTATGTATGCATACGCACATACTGGTACAATATGGGGCATGTCAGCCGAGCTTGGTTGCCCCGTTCTGGGCTTGTTACGTTCCCAGTCAGCCAGTGAATGTCCATCACAAATGGCAAATGGGTCAACCCGTCATGCACATCTGTGCAGCTCAATCACTGTAAATCCCATGTTTGATGATTCTATCAATTGATAATTATATACAGTATATAATTATCGATTACAAATTATTGCAGTATACAGTATATTATATTAGTATATCAACTTATTGTATCCCACGTCATCCCCATTCTTTTGCATCTCTGGTGAAATGAAAATCATGGCCTCAAAACTCAAAACCGTTCAAAACCGCCTGCATCCACATCCAACAGCTTGAAAAAGGACCAGGCCTCGGCGTTTCGGTGTCTCTTCACATGTCAAACCGAGCATCGAAGCAACACGGAGATGAACATCATCCACATACCAGGTGTATCAACATGCACAAAATGAGCTTTTGACCTCGTCATAGAGATCTTAGCGCAACTGCATTGACAAATTGAGAGTTTTAACATGTTTTAACCCTAGCCACGGATCTCGTCAGGTGGCTCATACAACTAGAGATGAGATTTAACAGGAGATGTCACCCACATTGATGGGGAGATAAATGCGATCTAAATGAGATTTATAAGCAACTTAATATGATATATATATAATATGTATTATATATTTTAAAAAAAATATATATATAATTGAGCGCTCAATTATATATATATATATATGAATAGAATCATATATATATACACTCCGGTAATTTAACGTAACCGTGCGTTTTCGAATTTTACAGTGCTAACGTGACTATCACTTGGGTCTTCCAGACCAGCATGTTCCCCAGAATGTATATGGTTGAGTGTGTCTAAAATGGCTGGGGTATACCATACAACGAACACCCGGAAAAATTTCCGATTGTGTCCTGGTTGGGGGGATTCTATCGAAAAAAAATAGCATTAATATACAATTATACATATTTAATCATATTTACAATTATTTACAATTATTTACATATCTATGTACAAGATTGTACAAGTACAACCCCTTCCAACATGGGGGTCCTGTCAATAATCCATTCCCGGTGTTTCATTCTTCGGCCGTTTAAGGGCCGGTGGGGTGACTGTCGCTTTACACAACCCATATCAATCCATCAATCCATGGTGATTTTGGAGAAAACGTGACTCATGGTGACGACCCTCTGGTAAACGTTTACATAACGAACTGGAAAATCACCCTGCTAATGGGAAACCTCACTATTTCGACTGGGCCATGTTCAATAGCTATGTTAAATTACCAGAGGGTAATTCCCATTATATCCCATATAAATCCCATATAAATCCCCTATAAATCACCATGGAATATCCAGAGGCATAGCTGGATGATTTCAATGGCGATTTCACTCACCGAACTGCCACCACTGGCGGCGTCCAAGGCGCATCCCAGACGTCGATGCCAATGGACTCGCACATCGTCTGCACTTCATCCGAGGTCACGCAGCTTTCGATCATCCTTAGGCGCGGCGGAACCATCCATCGCGCCAGATATTAGGGGGACCTGGTTTGTTGAACCCACCGGAGATGTTTGATGTTTAGTCTGTTTAGTCTGTTTAGTTCGAAAAAATGATGAAAACTTAAAAATTGGGGGCTTAAATGGACTTAAGCAAGTATTAGGATGAACACTTTTGATTGAAGCAATGGTGGGGGTCGGTTCAAGAAATGATCGAACAAATACTTCATGAGGGATTCAACCTCGAAAGATTGGAAATTACATTAACGATATTAATTGTGCCCAAAAGACCTGCATTGAAAATTTAGGGGAATCCAGAACCCTGAAACTTTCAGGCTGTCAAGGGAGGGCAGGAAATCCATCAGCTGAGAACTCGTGATGGAAAAAAATATAACTGATTCATTAATATTGGTAAATTATAATATTTCACTAACCTGAACTTGAACTAAGGCCATTTCGGCATGATTCCCCTATACATTCACCATGATTGATAGATATAGATATCGTTGGTATTCACATCTACCGTTTTATTTTCACAACGCTCATCATGTCATCAAAGCTCGACACTCAAGGCCCCTGCATGGATTTGGTAAACTCTATTGCTTGTATACATCCATGATAATTTATGATCATTTTACCCCTGTCATATCCTTGTGAAAAGTCTACGAAAATCCCGGCCCGTTCAAGTGGCCCCATCAATTTTAAGTTCCATGATGTTTTAGGCGGCCTGCCG